TTATGAATAATTTAAATGTTCTTTTCTAATTTTTCAGACACCAGTAATATTTACAATATCTGATATAACATATAATATGGGAAAAATCATTACTGCTACTAATTTTATTAAATAATAAATTACTTTATTATTATCATTTTTACTTTATTACCCAGAGTATTGAGCTAGCTCTGTGATTTGACACTTGTACTCTGTGAAATCAAGATGATTTGAATTAGTCAGTTTTGAAAGTCTTTTCCAATTCCAACATTTGGTGATTCTAAGTTTTACTTTGTAGACCACATAATATCTATGACACATTTTAGATTATCTACATTACTCTTAATCTGTAAAAGACATAAAAGCTGAGGTAGACAGTATTTAAATTATTCTTGTAATATTACAAAGAAGAAGTTGTTGGTCATCTGTCAAAAGAGGAGAATATTAGAGAAGTACATTCTATTTAAGTACTTACCCCACTTTTATCATATAGGTTTCTTTTGTTTGTTTGTTTATAATTATGTCTGGAAAATCAGGGAGTTACAAACTCTGACAGCTTATTCACTAAAGTTATTAAAAAACAACAACAACAACACTTTAAATATTTTTTCTGTACTAAATAAAAATTATTATTTTTACCTGTTCTAAGATATGCACTTTTTTATTGTATATGTCTAAAATCAGGAAGAGTTTTATAGTTGATGGTTAGTTACAAACATTGTCTACCAGCTGGCAGTTGTTATGAGGAATCATTTTTAATGCTTGTGAACATAGTCATGGCTGTTCATATAGTCATGCTTCAACGAAGTTAATGTGCACTGACTGACTATATATACTACATGTGTAGAATTTGTCATCCAGTATTTTTTCAAAGAGATTACAATAAGATTCAGTTGGAAAAAAAAGTTATTGTTTGTAAAGAAAGGCAAGGATATTGCAGCAAGAATTAAATTTTTATAGGATGAAGCAAATATTTATTGTTGGAACAATGACAGCAATTCTGTATCTTTATGCTAGTCAACAGCTGACTGATTTATACAGTCTTGCGTCTTATCATGTCAACCAGGGATCAGCAGAGTAGACATCGCTGGAGATCTTAATGGAAATACAAAATCTTGGGCCCATCCCAGACCTACTGAATCACAATCTATATTTTATCAAGATTTCCATATAATTCATTTGCACTTCAAAGCTTGAAAAGCACTTTACAGTACCAGGGAAAATACACAAAAGAAGATGAAGCTGTTTTATATTTTCTTACTATGATATGTGCTAATTATGTTTCTCATATGTTAAGTAATACAACCTAAAGCAAGAGAAAGCCACTTCGAGTAGATAACAGATGATTAGTCTATTGGCCATCTGTATGTCCTATTTGGGGTGGAAATACAGACTGGTGCAGCCACTGTGAAAAACTCTATGAAATTTCCTCAAAAAATTAAAAATGGAACAACCTTTTGACCCAGTAATCTCACTACTAGGAATATATCTGAAGAAACCCAAAACACTAATCTGAAGAATATATGCATCTCCATGTTCATTACAATGCTATTTACAATAGCCAACATTTGGAAACAGCCAAAGTGCCCATCAGCAGATTAGTGGATAAAAAAGCTGTGCTATATTTACAAAATGCAATACTGCTTGGCCATAGAAAAGAAGGAAATCTTACCTTTTATGACATTCTGGATGGACCTGGAGAGCATTATGCTAAGTGAAATAAGCCAGTCAGAGAACGATAAATACCATATGATCTCACTTATATGTGGATTTTAATGAACAAAATAATTCAACAAACAAAACAGGAACAGAAGCATAGATACATGCAACAGACTGACAGCTGTCACAGGGGACAGGGTTTTGGGGGCTGGGTGAAAAAAGGTGAAGGGATGAAGCAAAAATATATATACATGACACATAGACACAGACAACAATAAAGTGATAGAGGAAAAGGGGAGGAGGTAGAAGGGGGCATAAATGGGGACAGAAAGAGACTTTACTTTGGGGGTAAGTGCACAATTCAATATACAGAAGATGTTTTATTGAGTTGTACACTTGAAACCTGTTTTGGTTTTACTAACTAATGTCACTTCAATAAATTCATTTTTTTTAAAAAAAGAATACATGAAAAAAACCTTGAAGTAACAAGAAATGGGTGTGATAAATTCATAAGCAAGCATGGCAATATCAATAGAAATCTATGTCCAAATAAGTTTAAAAGTTTTTTCTATAAACTTTAAGTATTAAGTAGATTTAGTGATAAGAAAACATTATGCCACAGTTCATTTGACAATTGTTTTTTCTTTACTAGTAGTGCCTAAAATCATGCTGTACCTTACCATAGGTGAAACAATAGTTTAATGAAATACAGGCAATCATACCAGTTTAGTGTATCACAAAGCTATCAGAAGCAATGAATATTCTTGCTTTTGTTTATACATATATCATTGTACTTGAGGTAACTAGATAAACTAACATAGAAAATGATCTTTTTGTATAGCTTAAGAATTATTTTATAAATGATTTTATTAGTATACAAAGTTTTCTTTGCTAGATAACTGTTCACATAGGAAGAAGGGGAATAATTAATAGAAATATTAGCCACATTTTATTTTCATGCTACATTAAATAATGACTCCATGTAAAGATTCTGTAAGTAAACACAATAGCTGCTTAATAGTAAATTAGTTCAATATAACTTTGTCACATATTATAAATACATAATTAATGTTTGTGAGTAGAATATTTTAACCACAAAACTAGTTTAAGAAGGTAGATCTGTGTTTGCTCTTATTTTGATATTTTAAATGATTTATCTAAATTGATACCTCATCATATTTTCTTTGTTGGCATTTAGTGTAACATACAAAAATTTTACTTATAAATGTATCACTTTATTTCAAATAATACTGAATAACCTTTATAGACTGTTATCCTTGGGTTAAAACCAGTAGTTGTTGATTGTTATACTGCTTTCAGCCTGATTTTCCAGTTTTTACTTCTTTATTGATGATGATGATGACAGTATGATGATGATATTTTTATCTTTAACCATATTTTTTCTTAGCATGCTGAAATTGATGGGGTGATTTTTGCTTGTTGTTTTGTTGTTGTTGCTGTTGTTTATATATATGTTTTATTGATTTTTTTAGAGAGAGAAAGGAAGGGAGAGGGAGATTTAAACATCGATGTGAGAGAGAAATATCCTGCATGCCCCCTACTGGGGATCAAGCCAGCAACCTGGGCATGAGAATCTAACCAATTACCTCTTGGTGCAGGGAGGATGCTCAATCCACTGAGCTACACCGACCAGGCTTGATGGGGTGTTTCGTTGAGGCCAAAGAATTGAGAGTTGAGGAAAATCATGGAGAGAACATTTCTGACTTACCAGAATGGCTCTCTAAATTCATATAGTGCTGAGCTACCTGGAGTTACAGGTCAAATGATAAGCATGTAGAAACTACTTTAATCTTGCCAGCAGAATGGGAAAAGGTGATTATGAATCAAACTATCTTTTACTCCTACATTTTTCTTTTCATGTATTGGCAATATCATATATATCATGGATGTTTAATAAATGTTTTTCAACAAATATATGCTGAAGAAAAGTAATAGTTCAGGTATGTGTACATTCTTACCTGGTTACATTGCAGGAGACTTCACTGAGCTGGTGAAATTTTAAACTACTTTAAAAGATGATTGAAATCTCAATAGGCATACAATCAGTGTTTGTTTTAGTGTGTGCCTTCATCCCTCACATTTTATTGGATTTTCTCATTCACCCATGAATGAAACTAATTATAACAATGCTTGTTTTGTGTCATATATGAGTTTGTTCATGAGTGGCAAGAAATATTGGTTCATTTTATTTTATGGAATGATTTTAATTATCTAGCTCTTCAGAAAATTTTACATGAAAAAATAACCTAAGGTGACTAAACTTTAATTCCTGCTATGCGTACTCTGGGGCATTTTTTTAATATTCTGTAATCACGATGACTTAAAATCACCTACATGAAAAAGAATGTCTGACTGTTGACAAGTTGACAGGGGTAAGGACCACTGGCACGTTAAACTTCGGATGACTGCAAAAGCAGTATGCATGTTATTTATCTAAATGTACCTTTTTTGGATTGATTACTAGCAAAGTAAAATCTAGGCTGCTTTGGATTAATAGGCAAAGTTAACTTTTTTTTTCTTTAAACATCAAGTTCTAAAGTAATGACCATCATGATTCAGCCCCTTACTAATCAGTATGCTCCAGAGACCAGCATTATCTGAATCATCTGGAAGCTTTCTTAAAAATACAGAATCTCAGGCTATAACCCAGACCTACTGAATCAGAATCTGCATTTTAACAAATTCCTATGTAACTCCTGTTCCCATTAAAGTTTGAGAAGTTCTGGTGGCCTACTATTCCCTTTCTTGATCTTTGATTTGATTCTATTGAGAATATAATTGAGAATCTGCTAAGTACATTTTGGCCCCTAAACTTTTTTTTCAAAGTAGACATGGTTTGTCAAATAGAACGGTAAGCATGCATGACTAGATTTTAGAACAGAAAAAATAATCTCAGCTTTACATGGTTCAAAATTCTGTAGATATATGTCTCTTTTATGTTCTCATGGCTTTTTGAGTTATACAATAATTTTTCTTTTCTAAACAAAGAATAAAATTATATCCACTAGATGAATACCTCTATCCCCGTTGTACCTGGTGCTCTATTGACAGTCTCAGAGTGTTATTTTAGCTTTCTTCGATGTGTGGAAATCATGCTGCTTGGTTCCCTGCAGGAGTTAAAATGAAATATTAGTAATTATGCATACTTAATTTTCAAAATGCCGACTGATTACTCACAGCATTTATTAAAAGGAAAATGATGGCAGAAATGCATAAAATGTTTTCTTAATAAGGACCTTTCAAGTCTAAAATGGTGCTATTATGGATATTTTTTTATTACAGTGATCAGAATAAAAAATGAATTATTTATTAACATATCCTTCTTCTTTTTCCTTTTCCAGATGCAAGACGAAGGTCTACCCTGATGAACTTCCAAACACAAGTGTAGTCATTGTGTTTCATAATGAAGCTTGGAGCACCCTCCTTCGAACTGTTTACAGTGTTATTAATCGTTCCCCACACTATTTACTTTCTGAGGTCATCTTGGTAGATGATGCCAGTGAAAGAGGTATAAATATTTTTCTCATATATTTTCTTAAATTAGAAAACTTTATTATGGTAAAAAAAAAAGACAGCTGGGAAATGATCTGTATTTTCCTTATAATTAGACTAACCCTGAAACCACCCATCATCATCAGTGCATTTTCATCAATGTATCCAGGCAAAGCCAACTCTAGAGACAAGGCACTAATTATTACAGTTTCTCTCATGATTCCATTTGGTTCTTACTAACTCAGAAAATCAACCAAAATGACTTTCAAAAGGGTTCCTTCTTGCCCCAACTCAACTGCTCATACGATTGAACATTGATATGACTTTATGGATACTTGTCTTTTTCTTTTCTTTTAGTTCAGGTGAATGCAAAATAAGTTATAATTGAGGAACCAACATTTGCCAGTGTGGCCCAGTTACTCCATTAGAGTCATAAAGTCTTCCTATTTTATCCTGATCCTCATCAGCCATGTGACAGGGCATAATGAACTCTACATTGAAATACTGAAGAAATCTCTGTATCTTTACGTCACCTACTGCAAAAAATGTCCTCTGGACTGTGCCACCATTTCTGTGTTGAATGTTCATCTGGGCAGTAGTATTTCTGCTGTGTCTTAAAACAGTTTCAAAACGTTCTTATCAATTCTTATCGCACGTTACAGATTTTCTCAAGTTGACATTAGAGAACTATGTGAAAAATTTAGACGTGCCAGTAAAAATTATCAGAATGGAGGAGCGCTCCGGGTTAATACGGGCCCGCCTTCGGGGAGCAGCTGCTTCCAACGGGCAGGTCGTCACTTTTCTCGATGCACACTGTGAATGTACCGTAGGGTGGCTGGAGCCCTTGCTGGCAAGAATCAAGGAAGACAGGTGAGAATTCGCGTGTTACGTCTGCCTGGGTTATGACAGAACCTGTCAGGACAGTTTGCACTTTCCATCAGAACTTCTCTTTAGGTTACTATCTGCAGGTATATTTTCTAGCTTTTCTTCACTTAATAAAGACCTTGGCTTGTTAGTGCTGAATAGGAATACTTGATTAAGGAATAACCAAACAATTCAAACAGAAAGCATGTGTTGGATATTCATTTTTTAGGCGAAAGAAATCAGTCAAATTTGAAATAGTACAATTTTGTAAAATACATTTTCAGAGCACTTTATTGTATCCTCATGACCACTCTGTGAGGTAGGTAATGTAGATATTCTTACATGTACCTAATAATAGGGAGGAACGCGTAAATCAGGTAGCATGCCCCAGTTATGGAAGTGATGGGAGCAATTCAGTTCTTCCTGTTCCCAGATTAGTCTTCTTTCTACTAGGTTGGTGTCCTCATTCAAAGTCTAGTTCAAAACCACATTGAGGATCTTAAGAAATAAACACACATAATCCCACATTCCAATCACGACTTAAAAAAAAAAAAGAAAGAAAAACATAGCACAACTATAAAGAATGCTTAATTATTTAAACAATATGGCCATTTTGTACATACAAATGGTGAAACCTGAAAGATTGTATAATATTTTATAGAAATGAAAACCCCTCACGGATGCCTGCAATTCTCTCTGATGATGATGCTCTGAGGTATGAGCTTTTTTTTCCCCCCAAAGATATACATAAACATTGGTGATAAATGAGTGTAATTCCTAAGCACTTAAGGAAGACAACTCTATTGAATACTGCCTGATATAAAAACATAACATTGTATAACACCTTGCTTGCAAAGTCATTTCACTTGCAATAGAAAGGTCTTTCTAGAACTGAAGTTTTTAATTAAGCACCCAAGACAGGAGCTGTGTAGTGTGAGCTAGTCCCACTATCTCACGAAAATGACAAGATTTGGTACTTGCCATGAAGATGGATGGAGGTTGTCAGTAAAATGAACCATAGCAGTTGAATAAAGCAGTAGGAACCTTTTAGTCAACTGAGTGTGGTACACAGCTAATAACATTTTCCCACTCTGTGTATTGTACTGTACCCACAGGAGAGTAAGACTGGCAAAATAAAATGAACTTGGAACATCTTAAATGCATTTCCTGGCAACGTTTCATACATTATGCTATTTTTTTAAACATGTGTTTCATATTCAACTTAGTGAGTTTTTAATATAATATTGTTTCAATACGGTCATGCACAGATCATTTACTTTTTAATCTAACAACATATTTAAATTATATCTGTATGTAATGAACTCTAATGTCTTATCCTACGTGTAAGTTCTAAAGTTGTCATAAATAGATAATAAAGTCCTGTTCAAAGTTATTAGATCTAATTTCATCTCCCTACAAATTAAATTGTTAAATTTAATGAAAAAAGATACTGATTTTGTAGGGACCATTGTTACCAAAAGGTTTTTCAAAGGGTAGATGAATTCTATTGATTTCAGAGAACTATAGACTTTAATTAATTGTATGAAATATAAAACCCACTGAAAATGTATTGGTGATACTGGTGTTACAAAACCAGAATAAATGATGGACAGCATTTATTTCTTTTCCACATCTATGGGTGATTCAAAAATGTATTTGTGCTGGCCAGTGTGGCTCACTGGATTGAACATCGTCCTCTGGACTGAGAGGTCCCAGTTCAATTCCTCATCAGGGCACATGCCTAGGTTGTGGGCTCATTCCCCAGTAGCTGGCATGCAGGAGGCAGCCGATTAATGTTTCTCTCTCACATCAGTGTTTCTCTCTCTCTCTCCCTTCCTCACTCTCTAAAAAAATTAATAAAAACATATAAAAATTGGTAAAATATATTTGTATGTTCACTTTCCACCAAATATAAAAACTAAGCTTTGCTCTCCAGAATTAGCTGCAAACTTGGGTAGATCTACATATTAACTGTGAAGATGACACAAGGTTGATTCCATAATAAAACAGATAAGCCTGGAGTAGGGGAAGATGAGAGGGCACAACATGGATTAAAAGATTACCTAATGATCTCCCATGGTGAAAACGTCCTTTCCCTAAAAAGCCACCATCAAGAACCCCAAATCTCCTGACTATTCCTCTTACTTTAAGAAAAGATGGGTCAGGGTATAAACACCAGAAACTGAGGTTAATTATCTTTCTCTATCTTAAACTATGTAGATTGTTACAATAAACTCTTAATTATAGGACAATTCACTCAAATTGACATGGTCCTAATATCTTTCATAGGAAACACCTACTTATACTGATGATCACTATTCTGTTGTTATTTCTGTTTATTAATTTTTGTTTCTTTGTTTTCCATAATAGGTATTTTTTTCATAAAGATTTTCTTAAAGCAATTTCTTTAAAGTCACCTAACCCCTCTGAGATTCAAACTATCAGATCTAATTTGCAATCATCCATTCTCTACTCCCTGTATGCAATTACTTTTCTATAAAAGAAATAACTGAAATGATGCATAATATCAAAGCAGCTCTACTAATCATGCTGTGGGTGGAGGTTTTATGAATAATAGACCATGTTCATCCTGCTGAGTTAGTACTCAGAATGCATTTGAAAATCAGCTTGGAGATCAATTACTATACTTGATTAGATTATACATGGTAGTATAAAGCTGAATGTAAAAATATGTGGTAAAAGGAAATAATTCCACAGATAAAATGGATAAAATAAAAATAAAATCCTATTAATGTCACAAAATAATTAAATTTCAATATATCAGCTATACTGAGTTTGAAGAAACAAATAAGCATTGAACTTATTATTTATATGTAAACTGGTTTTACTTTTTCTGCAGGAAAACAGTTGTATGCCCCATCATTGATGTGATTAGTGATGATACCTTTGAATATATGGCTGGGTCAGACATGACTTATGGGGGTTTTAACTGGAAACTGAATTTTCGTTGGTATCCTGTTCCCCAAAGAGAAATGGATAGAAGGAAAGGCGACAGAACATTACCTGTCAGGTATGTAGATTCTATCTGTCAAAGGGTAGCATGTGTATTCCTATAATAATTAAGAAGTTTATACATTTGTGTTTTCATTTTTAAGTCTTTAAAAGTCATATACATTTTATTCATATACACATATGTGTTATCACCTTTTACATGATCATGTAAGAATCATTGGCTACATTAAATGTAGCTTAAATTAGGACAGGCAAATTTAAGTATTGGCAGAAGTGCCAAATTTTTTTGGAAACTATATTCTGATATTCAAAATATATTTATTGTAAGTTTTCTATGCAACAGATATGTGCTAGTCTTGCCAATTCAGGTAGATATATATCTTTCCTAAATATATATGTGTTATAGTAGAGGTATATGCAAAATTTAAATGACCAAAAATGTTTTGGTAAATGTTCTAAATGTATCTACCTTAAAGATCTATGTTCCTGCCCTGGTCAGTTTTGCTCAGTGGTTAGAGCGTTGATCTGCAGACTGAAGGGTCGTGGGTTCAATTCCGGGTCAAGGACAAGTACTTAGGTTGCAGGTTCAATCCCTCACCCTGGCCGGGGTCTTGTGGGAGGCAACCAATCGATGTGTCTCTCTCACATCGATGTTTCTCTCTCCCTCACTCCCTTCCACTCTAAGAATCAATGGAAAAATATTCTCAGGTGAGGATTAACAACAACAAAAAAAGAATTATCTTCCTGACAGATACAAGAGAAAAATCCATCTAGGAAATTGTAATATATTAACACTTATGAAGGATTTATTGTTTATTCCAAGTTATTGAAAATAGCTACTTAATTTGAAATATTTATTCATAAATATGTTTGCCATTAATAACAATGACAAATATCATATGCATATTTAGCTGTCTAGATAAGCATTATCCACTTTATAAAATTATCACCTTACTTTAAAATATTATTGTGTACCTCTTACTTGAAACCAAAAATTCATTTTCTGAGTAATATTTTGTTAAGGGAGTTCAGTACTTTAGTTCTTTAAAGATTAATTTGGCAAATCATCATTTAGTTGGGATAATAGATAAATAACCTAACATTCTAAAACAATATATATAGCCCATTATCCAAACAAGAATGTTTCCTAGTCTAATGAGGGAGTAACTTATTGATTGGCAAGATTAATTATATGATTAATTAATTAAAATAAACTAAAAATTCACTAAAGGAAGGGAACAGCTCTAATTGTTTAGTATTGAACAATTAAATATTGTGGCTGTTAACCCTTTCAAGAAAGTAGTATTACACTAAAAATAAAAATAAAATGTGGCTACAAACAATTGCATAAAAATGTGAAGTTATATCAGTATTTATTTATTTATTTATTTTATTTATTCTTTTTGCTATGTGCCCCTAGTGGGAACCGAACCTGGAACTCTCTGGTCTTGTAGGCCAATGCTCCAATGGCTGAGCCAAACCAGCCAGGGCATGTATCAGTATTCAAACTGTGATTTAGTAGTCCTGAAATCTTGCTGTAATCTTCATGTTTACCAAGTCTTATTGATCCTTGTCTTTAACAACTTGAGGAAATAACAGCAGCTCACATTACCATTATTTATTAGGAATTCCATTTTCCTATATCATGCTAACATTTAGTGTCAGCTGATTTCTCAACTTTGGATCCCAAGTGAAAACTATCAATATACTTGAAAAATATACTCAAATGTAGATTATGTGTTTATTCACTTGAAAATGAAGTCTTAAAGAATGCATTTTATATTCATCGTTTTTTTTTAAAACTTTGGCAAAAATCGTGCTTTATTTAACTTTTTTTTCTGTTTGTTTTATTTTATTTTATTTTTTTTAAGCTTTAAATTTTATTACATTTTTTTTCCAATTACAGTTTACATTCGATATTATTTTGTTTTAGTTTCAGTTGTATCGCCTAGTGTGGTTAGACGATCATATACTTTACGAAGTGCCTTCCCCCCGATATTTCCAGTACCTAACTAGCATCATACATAGTTATTACAATGATATTGACTATGTTCCCTATGCTGTACATTATATCCCAATGACTATTTTGTAACTACCAATTTGTACTTCTCACTCCCTTCTCATTTCTCACCCAATCCTCCAACCCTTTCTCCACTGCCAACCATCAGTCTGTTCTCTGTATCTATGAGTCTGTTTTTATTTGTTCTTTATATATAAGTGAAATCATATGGTATTTGTCTTTCTCTGACTGACTTATTGCAGTTACCATAATATTCCCAAGGTCCATCCATGTTGTCACAAATGACGGCATTTCATCTTATGGCTAAGTAGTATTTCATAGTATATATCTAACACATCATCTATATCCAATCATCTATTAAAGGGACACAGGTTGTTTCAGTGTCTTGGCCACAGTGAATAATGCTGCAGTGATCATAGGGGTATATATATATATATATATATATATATATATATATATATATATATATATCTTTGCAAATAAACCTTTTCAAATTTGGGGGGGTTAGGATTAGTTTCAGAAGAGGTATTGCTGGTGATATGGTAACACTATTCTTAATTTTTTGAGCAACTGTGATACTGTTTTTCACAGTGGCTATAACAGTTTACATCCCCATCAGCTGTGAAAGAGAATTCCATTTTCTCCACAACCTAGCAATGCTTGTTATTATTTCTTGTTGGTAATAGCCTTTCTAACAGGTATGAGGTGGTATCTTACTGTAGTTTTGCTTTTCATTTCCCTAATAGCTAGTGAAGTTGAACATTTTTTTCATATAACTGTTGTCCATTTGCATCTCTTCTAGGGAGAAGTGTCTATTTGGGTACTCAGCCCATTTTTCAGTTGGATTGTTTGGTGTTGAGATGTATGAGTTCTTTATATATTTTGGATATCAACCCCTTGCTGAAGCTGTTGTTTACCAATACCATCGCCCATTCAGTTAGTTGCCTTTTTGCTTTGTTGGAAATTTCTTTTGCTGCAGACTAGTGTTCTTTGTTTTCTCCATTGTATGTTTTTGGGTCCTTTGTTAAAAATTATTTGCCCACATACATGTGGCTTTATTTCTGGGCTCTCAGGTCTGCTCCATTATTCTGTGTGTCTGTTTTCTGCTAATACCATGCTGTTTTGATCACTGTAGCTCTGTAGAGTTTAATTTGAAGTCAGGTAGTGTGATACCTCTGCCTTCATTCTTTTTTCTCAGGAATGCTTTGGCTATCCATGATTGTTTATGGTTCCACACAAATCTGATGAATTTTGTTCTATTTCTTTAAAAAATAACATTGGTATTTTGATGGGGGCCACCTTCAATCTGTATATTGCTTTGGACAATATAGACATTTTAACTATGTTGATCCTTTTAATCCATGAACACTGAATATTTTTCCATTTTATTGTGTCTTTTTCAATCTTTTAATATTGCTTTGTAGTTTTCAATATATACATCCTTCAAAATCATTTGTTCAGTTTATTCCTAGGAATTTTATTCTTTTTGTTGCAATTAGAAAATAATTTTTTTTTCATTTTTTCTGAAATTGTTAGTATATAGAAATGCAGTGGATTTTTGTACATTGATATTGTATCCTGCAATTTTACTGTATTTGTTCGTTGTTTCTAATAGTTTGTGGTCGAGTCTTAAGTATTTTCTATATAAGAATCATACCATCTGAAGAAAGTGACACTTTTACTTCTTCCTTCCCAATTTGGATGCATTTTATTTTTTCCTCTTGCCTGATTGCTCTGGCTAGGACTTCTAGAAATAAGTCAAATAAGAGTGGTGAGAGTGGGCATCCTTGTCTTGTTCCTGACTTTAGAGGAAAAGCTTTCAGTTTTTCACCATTGAGTATGATATCAGCTGAGGGTTTTTCATATATGGACTTTCCTATGTTGAGGTAGTTTCCTTCTACACCCACTTTATTGAGTGTTTTAATCATAAATGGATGTTATCTTATCAAATGCTTTTTGTGCATCAATTGATAGGATATTATAATTTTTTTTTTATCCTCACCTGAGGACATTTTTCCATTTTTTGTTCAGATAGAGTGGGAGGGAAAGAGAGGAAGAGAGAGAGAGAAACATCAATGTGAAAGGGACACATCAAGTGGTTGCCTCCTGCACGACCCAACCAGGGCCGGGGACAAACTGCAATCAAGGCATGTACCCTTAGTGGGAACTGAACCTGGTTGTCTCTGGACCGCAGGCCGATGCTGTAACCGCTGAGCCAAACGGGCTAGGGCGGATATTATAATTTTTATCCTTTGTTTTGTTAATGTTGTGTATTACACTGATCAATTTGCATATGTTAAACCATCCTTGTGCCCCTAGATATAACCTGCTGATGCTGATGTATTATTATTTTTTATTGTATTGTTTTATTCAATTTTCTAGTGTATTTTTTATTACCTATTTATTTTTTTAGGATTTTTGCTTCTGTATTTGAGATATTGGTCTGTAGTTTTCTTTTTTTGTATGTTACCCTTGCCAGGTTTTGGTATCACGGTTATGTTGGCCTCATAAAATATATTAGGGAGTATTGTCTCTTCTTCAATTTTTTGGAAGAGTTTGAGAAGGATATGTATCAAATCTTTTGGTAGACTTTACTAGGGGAGCCATCTGGTTTTGATTTTAATTTTGGGGATGTTTTTGATGGTTGTTTCCATTTCTGATTGGTTTATTTAGATTTTCTAGTTCTTCATGATTTAGGCTTAGAAGGTTACATATTTTTAGAAATGTATTCATTTCTTCCAAGTTTCTGGATTTGGTGGCATATAGTCTTTTGTAGCATTGTAGTATGAACCTTTGTATTTCTATGATGTCTTTGGTAACTTCTCTTTTGTTTATGGTTTTTCTTTAGGTTTTTCTCTTTTTTCTTTAGTGGGTCTAGCCAGAGATTTGTCAATTTTATTAATCTTTTCAAAGAACCAGCTCTTTATTGTATTCATTTTTGCATAGTCATTGTGTTCTCTGTTTCATTCAGTTCTGCTATAATTTTTATCATTTCCATTCCTTTGCTGACTTTTGTTCTTTTTTTTCCCTAGTTCTTT